ACAAATGTTTTAAAATCTAGTGCACACAGGCCACTGGGCAGCATCTGTGTGTGTTGGTACAGTCCAAACTTCACTCATGCATTAAGAATTGAACTGTTGACCCCAGTGTGAGTCTCAGCTGCCTCCTCATGACAGCTGTGAAATATTTTCATGAAAATGTGTCTAGGAATCCGTCTGCCTCCTCAGTACGTACCTGTGAAATAGCCTGGCAGATCACAGTAGGCATGCTGATGTCACAACTTGTCTTAGTTTCAAATTGGCTGGATCTTGTCTGAATACGATACACCTGATTATCTGGAAAAGTTTTGACAATTGACTTATGGTTTGTCCACTCAAAATATCAAACTTTCTCCAAATGTGGGATTTTTTGTTTTTGTTGCATATCATCATAAATTGGAACACAGCAAGACCTACGAAGAAGTCACATTGTGTTTTCCTTTGTTCCCAATTATTATGAACTAAATAAACACAAGTAAATGGCAGATTAATCAAAAATGAAAGAAACTGGAGCAAATGAGTAGTTTGAAAAAGATAGGATATATAAGATTCAAGGATTTTATTGTCAGTTCACCATATGTGCAGGACATACAGAAAATCAAAATACCATTTCTCTCTCACCTGGTATTGGGTGCCATAACATTTAGGAACTAAAATAGAATAAAGCTGAATAAAAATAGAATAGAATAAGAACTGGATTAACGTAATTAGGATCAATCTAAATGGTACAACCAATAAGAGGTGACTCAAAACCATGTACAGTCAGTGGAGGTAATGCAAACAATTGTAGGAGATTGTTAGATGGTTCAGCATCACCAGGGCGTTGGTGATGAGGTGCAAATAGCATATGAGGTATACATGTACTGCAAATGACCAACAGCAGCAGATATCCCTGCAAAAAAAAAAACAGTCAGCAGCAGATTTACATATAATATAATAGAAGGTAAAACAGCAGATGATGTACAATGTATGATGTATATCACAGAATAAAGCATTAAATGAATAAACTGCATAAATAATTACATTAAAACATGACACACAAAAAACAGGGTAAAAAAAGGTATATTTTAAATCTACCTTTAAAAATATGAACACTTTCAGCTGCTCTCAGTTCCACAGGCAGAATCCGAGAGAGAAATGGCTGCACTTTAGGGACAGTACTCTATTTTTATTCCTACTTATTCCATTTCACAATGAGCATTCCTTTGTTGGTCTGCATTGTTTACTGCCTGTCTATACTGCTTATTTTGCACTGTTTGTTGCTAGAAATTTTTATTTTGTGGCAAGTTTCTGTCTCTGAGCTTTTGAACCTATAATTCACATTTCAGTTTTATTCTTTGTTTGTACATTTAACAAAAGCCAAACATCTCAGGAAATACCTAATCAAAGAATATGCATATAAAGCATTCAACCCTAACATGTTGGACAGTTTTTGGTAATTGATCCATTTTGGTCAACGGCAAAAACCTGAGGTTTGATACCCAGCCCTAGTTGCAGGTGGTGAATGTAGTAGTAACTTAAGGCTCTATTGCACACCAAAACCCTGGGGTAGCTCTGCCTACTCATACAGCCTGATTCACTCTGTTGTAGGAGCCTGTTACATCTGATGAAGTCATGATCTAATGTAGGGATTTATACATCATATTACTGGAAATGACTCAGGTTGCCTTATGTCACATAAGTAATAATTAGTCCTTCTGAGTCATGTTGCACCCCCTCACCTAGCCCATCACTCTGTCGCTTTGCAGCTGAAGCCTGACTAGGCAGAGCAACAGCTCCTGTTAGTGCTGGCTCTGGTGCTGCTGGCACTGCAAAACAGCCTCATCTATCACTGGAAACGACTCTGGGAGAATCATTTCGGTCTGCTACGCTACCCATTCACGTGGAGCGAGGAGAGGAATAGCCAGAGGAGCGCGGCGCTCAATGCGGCTGCCTGAGGTTGACAGAACAGGAATAAGAGGTTGACAGGAAGCCCAGCTCACGTGCTGAAGATTTGGAGAGTGGTGGTGGCAGTGGTGGAAGGGACAAGGAACACAAGCAGCTTCTTTTCCTCTCCCTTTTTCTTTCTGTCTCTGTCTGGTAGTCTGAAGGCACACTGACAGTGCAGTGCATTGAAGCACACTCTAGGATACGCAGTAATACTGATGAATTATTTAACAGTAGTGAGTGGATGTGACACAGGCCGGCATAGTTGTATGCTTACAGAGTGACAGGAGAATGAGAGGGAGAGATTACATGCACCTCCTGCAACAACAGAGAGCTGCAGGTGGGAAAAAAAGAATTTGTATGCTCAGGATAAAAGAGACAACAAATTAGAAATATGAAACATTCACATATCTGAAGTAGAACTTGACTAAATGGAATTTTGAGGCCATTTTGATGTTGGTAAAAGAACCGATATCTGAGCAAACAAAGTCAGTGCCCTCTGTAGGAAAATCATTGAGCTGCAGTGATTCGTTAATCAACAGAAAACAGCGATTTTGATGTTTCATGCCATTAGTGATTTTTTTCAAGCATATTTCTAAACTTTTCCAGGTTCCACCATCTCAAATAGGAGCATTTGATGCCTTTTTCTGTCATGTATGATTGTAAACTGAGTAATTTTAGATACTAGACAAGTAATTTAAATGCATCACAGTGACATTTTGTAGACAATTCCAATTGAGTAAACAAGAATATAATTGGCAGGTTAAAATAATCATTAGATGAGGCTTTAAATCATGATGTCTTTGTATTGATCAATAATATGGATCCTGCAGATGCAATGGTTGGACTAATCAGAAATAAGGATGTTATTCACCTACTACTGTCTCCACACACAGTTTTGCTCACAAACAGCACAAAGGTTTGTGAAAGTTTAACTTGGCTTGTTAAAATGAAGGGGAATCTTGTCTGGATGTTATGTTGTTGTGATCACTCCCGGTTTTAGGGTGTTGGTTTGACATTCCCCGAGCACTCCCCTCAGCTGTCACCACTTAGCTAGTCCCCAAAGAGAGTAAGAAGTACAAAACATGGGAAAAATGTAAAAAATGCATGGCTCCTCCTCCAGCTCCATGGCTCCACCCTTCCAGTTTAGGTTACTAGGAGACCTTATTTGTATTACTCCCAGAATGAAAGAATCAGAACATTTGAGAGCAAGTAGTGGGACTTCTGCAACTGAAGAAATGTCTCACAAGCGTGTTATGAGGATGAAGACCAGCCTGTTGCCTAAATTTAAGTATTGGTTGTTGTGTAAGGCAGTGTGTTTACCACTTGTCTGCAGTACGGCAGCAAAGGTAGAGACCAGTGAGACTGTTGGTGTTGTTTTAACCAAAAACACAAGGCCAGAGTGACTGTTTGTCTTCAAAGTAAGTTGGAAATGGAACAATGACCAAATAAAGTATGCTCAGAACAGTAAGTAAACAGACTGTACTGTTGATAGACACCGTTCTCCTACGAGAACGGAACTCAGAGAATTGTGTGGTCCTAGTGCTTTTAGATTTGACTGCTGCTTGTGACACAGTGGACCACAGTATCCTTATTTCTTGTTTAGAGCACTGGGTGGGTATCCGGGGTATAGCTCTGGAATGGTTTCGATCTTATCTTAAGGATAGATCGTTCTGCATGAAACTCAGAGATACTGTGTCTTCCTCTGAGCCCCTTTTGTATGGGGTATCTCAAGGCTCGGTCCTTGGACCCCTTATTTTTTCCCTTTATCTTCTTCCACTTGGTTCTATACTCAGGAATCACGGTGTTTCCTTTCATTTTTATGCGGATGACTGCCAGCTTTACCTACTGGTTAATAAGGTGAGCTCTTCTGTTAGCACACTTCTTGAATGTCTCAATGACATTAAATCTTGGCTCGCTTTTAACTTTTTAAAACTGAATGAGGATAAGACTGAGGTGATTGTATTCGGTGATTCTGTTGGTTCACCATCTGTTGACTTGGGCTCATTGGCTCATTATAATCAAAAGAATATTTTAAATTTAGGTATTAAGATGGATCCAGATTTAAGATTCGACAGCCAAATTGCAGCTGTCATTAAATCTAGTTTCTTTCACCTCAGACAGTTGGCTAAAGTAAAAGCATTTGTCTCTAGACAGCATTTTGATTCATGCTTTTATTACTTCCCGTTTGGACTATTGTAACTCGTTGTATCTTGGGGTCGGTGAGTCTTCTATCACTCGCCTCCAGATGGTCCAAAATGCAGCAGCGCGTATTTTAACAGGTACAAGGAAATATGAGCATATCTCTCCAGTTTTGGCCTCCCTACATTGGTTACCTGTTCATTTTCGGGTCCATTACAAAATTTTACTCACTGTTTTTAAATCGCTTCATGGCTCTGCACCATCCTACTTATCTGATTTGCTTCATTGGCATACACCCACATGCTCTCTGAGGTCAGCCAATCAGCTTCTCTTGAGTGTCCCAAGAACAAAGCGTAAACTTAGAGGTGATCGAGCCTTTGCAGTTGCTGGTCCCAATCTCTGGAATGATTTACCGCTGTCCATTAGACAAGCCTCTACCCTGTCTGTTTTTAAGTCTCTTTTAAAAACTCATTTATTTTCCCTGGCATTTTGATATTTTTGTGTTGATTTTAGTCATTTGATTGATTATATTTTATATTGTTGTTTGTGGTTTATAATTTATATTGTTTTATTGCAATGTACAGCACTTTGGTCCACTTTGGTTGTTTTTAGTGCTTTATAAATAAAGTTGGTATGGTATGGTAAGTAAACGTGGTATGGTATGATGCAATGCACAAAGGAAATGGAAAAGTTACTTTCAGCTGCAAAAATTTGTGTCAAAGCTTAATTGGCAGTGTGAGGTGTTTGCAGCTTGATTGCCTTTGCATAGCACACATAACGCTTAATTTTCTTGTAGTATAACAGAATAAAACATGTTGGGTTCTTGTATATTCACTGCAAAGATCAGTATATAGTGAACATTGTGTAGCAGTGTAAAATATAAACCCCAGACACATTCACAGTCTCTTCTCCCTCTTGCTCTTTCTCTCCTGCAGTCATACTTTGTCACCGACTATGACCCCACAATTGAAGACTCCTATACCAAACAGTGTGTGATTGACGAGAGGGCGGCCAGGCTCGACAGTAAGTGCTCTTAGCTGAACAAACATGTCTCTAGCAAACGTATACACACATATAGTCCTTTTGTTTCTATTGCATCATGTTGTACTCAAGGAGTCTATTTTGCTTCAAGTTATTCTGCATGTATGATTTGTACTAATGTGTGTACACACTCTTTAGTCCTCGACACGGCTGGACAGGAAGAATTTGGAGCCATGAGAGAACAATACATGAGGACAGGGGAGGGCTTCCTGCTCGTCTTCTCAGTCACTGACAGAGGAAGGTGAATGACAGTTCTCGTCATTTGCAAACTCACTGCTCCATGTTCACTTCTCGCTCTTTCTGTTTTGTTCTGTTTGCGTACCTTTGTTGTTCACAGTTACACACACGCACACACACACACACACACACACACACACACACACACACTCTCTCTCTCTCTCTCTCTCTCTCTCTCTCTCTCGCTCCTTCTCTACCCTTCACTCTTCTAAAACCGTAAATCTTACATTGATACTCTCACTTGTTGCCACATATACTTCCGGACCCTTACTGTTGTTGTCATTTTCTTTTGTTTGCAACACTTCCTCCCTCATCCTGTCCTCTTGACTTCACTTACTCGTGTACCTTTCTATTTTAAGTCAGTATGCTATTGAAACAATCATATGTGGGCTACAATAGAGATATCTTTAGCTATGTGTGAAACATAAGTGGCTTGACAAGAATTTCGCAATTACTTAAACGCTCCTGGCATTGACTTTTTCTCTTTGAATAGGCCCTAACAATCCCTTAACCTCTTAAACCCTGTTGACCTGCTAGAGAATCTAACTCAAACTGCGCAGCTAAACATTAAAACTCACAGAGCTTCATTCTAGTGGAGATATCAAAGTTTCCAAAGATGCCAAATATGCCGGATAGAATTTTAAGGAAATGTGTATAAAAAGGTGCACAAGATATCTAGAATATTTCCATTTCATGCAATGGCACAGTCACATGCATTTGGGTATTTCATGTGTCAACATCCATAAAGTGCCACAGAGCTAAAACAGAATAAATCTGAAGTGTTGAATAAGATGATTTTTCCCAACTTAAACTTGAAACCAGATGATAATTAGTTGAAAATATTTGCTTCTCAGTGATTGTATTAAGGTTTGTCACCTTGAAAATATTTTTCACATTACACTATATACAGATTCTTCTCGTAATCAGCCTGTCACAGCCCATCCTCCCTGCCTGTGTCCCCGCCCAGTGGTGCATTGAGCTACATTCCCCTGCCCCCACCCATACCCCCTCCCAATGTTTATGTTGTAAACAGTCCTTCCTTCCCTCATTTATATTAGTCAAGTCTTTCCAGATTTACTACATGTTCACCGAGCTGTCTGTAGGCCCGTGGCTGGAATGCTGTCCAGGGTTTGTGGTCACATTCTACTTCAGTTTTTTTTACCCCAGACTGACATATTTATTTGCTGTTTGGTTGAAAAAGTGCACCTGGCATTTGTACTATGGTGGGACAGAAGTCAGGCCGGTCCACAGAGCAGAGCCTCAGACACATATTTTATGCTTCTGTAATAGTGTTGCTGACTTTTTCTTCTTTGCTGAGATGTTGAACCCTTCAGTCTAATTTGTAGCGGTGATGACCGCAGCTTCTGGATGATGGATGTGTTATTTAGCTACACTGCTTGGAGCTCTGACATGCACGCATTTTTAGATGACGTGACATGTAAAAACACAATGTAGCCTGTTCATGTTCCTGTTTGTGCAGAAAACACCACATAACACCATGTAATGTGTTTTTTAGCTTTGAAGAAATCTACAAATTCCAAAGACAAATTCTTCGGGTCAAAGACAGAGATGAATTTCCTATGATCCTTGTAGGAAACAAAGCAGATCTGGATCTGCAGAGACAAGTAAGTGCAACAGATTATAAAGATCTGAACCCCGCTGACTGACATATACAATGTGTGTTCATCTGGAGAGATGATATCAACTAGTCTGGAGGATTCACATTTGCATACTTGAAAGTGAAAACAAGTGTTGCAGCTGCAGTGTGTGTGCTAACATACAACAGGATGTGAGTGAAAGAATAAAAGAGAGACTGTAGAAACTGGGGTGCCAGCAGGGGAGGATGGATGGAGAGAAAAGGGAGTGCAATGAAATGATGTATTTTCTGGCTGTTGGTATGAAAACACTTGTCACTTCCTTTAGTGAAACCACACTACCCCCTCATGGCGAAAAGGAACCTTACAGGCACATGTAGCTAATTAATATCAACGGGTTCTAGCCACTGAAATCGACTTTTAGTAATTCATGCCTCATCTGACACAAATCTGTGGTGGTTTATAATTAATTTTTATCTTTTTCTACTTTTTAATCAAATTTCCATGAGCTTGTTTATACTAGAGAGACATTACGTAGTGGGAGAAACTTGCCACATATGTCATAGATGCCCAGCTAGCAGCTCAGTATAGAAACTGAAACACAATTGCTCAAACTGCATGTAAATGATCCCCCATATATAAAATATCTTTCAACCTAATTCCTTTTTGCATTATTCAGCCCCAGATTATATGCACAGCTGTGTCACAAAGAGGGCGGAGGCAGACTTCAGCTGTGTCCCAGATGCATCCTACATGCAAATTTAAGTGTGTAGGAAGTCTACACTTGAGAAATTACAAAATGAAACGCAATTACAAATGTGGCACAAGTATAAAAATTGCTTCCTTTGTGGTGTTGAAAGGGAAGGAGCCAAATAGTGGACGATATTGCGAAGACCTGAGGAGAATGCCCGGTCAGAGGCCACTTCTGAACAGTTGAATGGAAATTAAAAGGAGACAAGCAGCTGTGTTGGGAATTTTTAATAGAGTTGTAAATTATTAATCCTGTCGTGCATGAATATACTGTTTAACTGACCAAAGGAGCAAAACTGGAAAGTAACAAAGTTCTTTCAGTGATAAGGGTCACTTTCACTTGGATGTGAAAGTCTGGTCATGTGTGGTGTGCAGTGTACTGAATTCTAAACACTAAGTGGTATGCACTAATGGTAATGTAGCACTCACTAGCACCACAGCAGTGTTACAGTAATTACTGCACATCTGTCCCCTTCACAAATAATTTGTCATTGATTTTGGTTTTTTAG